TTTGTGGCAAACACGAGGACACTCGTTAAAGTCAAATGTGCGTGGAGATCGCTTTCCAAGTCTGATGGATCGACAAACACCACCTCAAACACTGGCAGGAACAGGGGAACAAACACAAGCAAGGACGAACAATTAGCTGCAACTACTGCTTTGTAAACAGGACGCTGGGCTCTTTGTTTGTGGCCCTAAGTTTCCTAACACAGTCTACCACTGAAATGACAGATGGCATCATTACAGGCTGCCTTGTTGATGCCGTTTATGTGTTTTTCCTCCGCACCCGGTTTTGCAGAAATCCAGGATCATGAAAAACGAAATAAATCTAATTAAGCTTTGGTTATGAATCATAAAAATGGTTCCCTTTTAAAAAGTAAATGCATATGTAGAATCCTTGTCTTGGGGTGATGCCACCTTTTGGAGCATTAGTGTGTAAATGCGCACGTTTTTGAGCCATCTGCGGTTCATTTCTTGGCACTAACGTTCAACTTAACACCAATAGAGTGACTTGAAGATAAGTTGGTCCTCCACCGTGAATTGTGATTGATATTCCTTGTACAAAGAAGACGTTATAAGAGCAATATCCGATATTCAGCAATCGTAATTAAAAAATCATGGTCAATAAAGAATTTATTACTACATGGCCAAATAATTGTCATCCCGAACGGGCTGAAATGGTCAATCGTAACATCCGTTCGAGTAGCCAATCGCGGCACATAATTCGTTTCATCTTGCCACACGCATCTACCCAAATATTAAATTCCGTTTTTCTTTGTTTGATTTGTTTTGTTTTTACCTTAAAGTACCAATCCCACTGAGATTAAACAAAAATGACCTTAATTTGCAGCAGAAAGTGTAAGTCTAGTCTGTTATACCATGGATGCGAAGTTAATGTTCGAAGCCAACAAACAGGTAGGAACTGTTGGGGCATTTTAAGCTCTGTAGGCTGTTGTAACTAACAGTGACATCGGCTATATTTTCCTTCTTTTGTTAGAAACGTTTTCAACAGTTAGCTTTGCTTTTGCATGCGTAACATTTACTCCTTTAAGTAAATTTCTTCGTATACTAAACCTAAACATTTTCTACCCAGAACCACTGCTGCACAGCACGTATGTATGACTAACAGAGATATGTATGAACTTTCAGATCGTTAAATTCATGCGGTGTAGCCATTGTGCACGAATTTTAAAGTTTGTTGATTTCTTTGAATATTCGACCATTGCTGCAGAGATATCAATACTAACTTACCCACCACGTTGTGAGAGAAGCTGATATAACACGTTTCACAGCTAGTACGGACGTTATACATATTTCACCCCCAGTTTCGTATTCTACTGTAAATTAACTTAAATCGATGAATACAATACTCGATATTAATAACGCAGCTGTTTCTATGTCTTATTCTTGGCTCCAGAGATGTAAAATATTTTTCTTTAGTATATTAAAACATTTCATATGTTGTATCGTTAAGTACTAAACGTGCGACAAAATATTAAATCGCTCTTTTCGGTCGAAATATAAGAAATAAAAATGCCTCCTATCACGTAATTTCCGATGAGTCATCCAAGCGAAAACTCGAGGCTGACGAAAGGGAAAGGGAGAAAGCTATGCATCTATTAAGCGTCTACCCTTAACCAACCAAAATTCTCAGGGGGACGTGCAGTAATAAACTGTTAAGCAATTCCCTATGTATCTGCGCCCTGGATGCAAACACAAGTCAAAGCAACGATGCTGGTGAACAAAATGCTCCTTTTTTTACCTTTCCCAGAATTTGTATGGACAATCGTTTCTTTATGTTGACCAACAAACCAGCGATTTGAACCGAAAACCGGCAACAGATTTAGCAGGCCTTTCGCTTGGAACGGCCCTATCTTTGTTTGTTTTTAAATTGTACTAGTTTGGTAGGATATTTCTTGAGCTCTACGAATTGAATTGAGTCAGGGCTGTCCAGTGAACATACAAATAGCAGTCGCAGCGAAAGAAACAGCCGACAGTTCTAGCAAACAAAGCTTGAAATGGAGTCTCCAAGAATACCGATTTTGCCACTTACTCTATTGGGAAAAGGAAGATGAGGGGGTGGAGAGGAGAGTGCAAGGAGTATGAAATTCGAAAAAAAAGATAGGCTTCCTTTCAATTTTTTTTTCGTGAAATTAAACACAGGTCGATCTTTTGGATATTATACTTTCCCGTTTCGTTCCGAATTAAACTGTATGTCTTCATAGTTTTCTCTTTTCTTTAACGATTACGAAGATTACTATAAATGGTTCGTTGGAAGGAAAACTTGTAGTTGTGCTGATGTGTCGTCATCAACTAGGCAAGAGCCAACTTGGCCCCAGTTAATTTCAAGATGGCGTATTGTTTGTCATCATGTGACGTAATAGTCTGTTGTGTGATTAAGTCATGCCAAGTCTAAGTAATTAAGAAAACTACTACAAGAAATGCATTACATTAAACAAACAAACATAAAAAAAAAGACAAAACGAGGAAGTTGACCATGCGGCCTAAACTACGTAGATTTTACACCTTCTCCTACTTAATCGCGTGTAGACTCTTTACGCTTACCAAATTCTCATAAATGTTTGCTTTATCTCTCAGTGTGAAGTCGCAGCCTTGAGAACTCTGCGTGACAAATAATGTATTGCTTGTTTTCGATATGTCTTCTTTTTGGCCTGTTCTTCTCCCCGGGAACAGGAATGACACCTTTACCTCGTTCACTGCCATCTGCAAGTTCAGGAGGGCCCGGTTAGTCATTGTAATGTTTCAATGCTTTTTATTAACGGAAGAAATCAAATTGGTTAATCTCCTTCATATAAATCCTCATTGTCATCATCATGTTTATGTTCATCATCGTCTTGGCCATTCCCAACGTAAGAAACGACAAGCAAACTAGGCCGAGTTAACCCTTAGACGTACAAGGGCCGGGGGGGGGGGGGGGGGGTTGGTTGGCTGGGTCCCCCCCCCCCCTCATAAGGTCTTTCTTATTTTTTTCTTAGAGGATGAAAATAGGCACCTGATGTTTTCAGTAGCTGTTCGTTCATCCCTCGCGCAGATTTTGAGTCAAGTTTAGTGATGGCCAGCTGCTACGGTTACGGGATTTTACGTCATAAGTAGCAGGTGGTCAAGCCAATTTTGGGTCAAAGTGCTTATTTTATGTGTTATTTTTTTTATGTAAAGCACAAAATATTACCATTTCTCGAGGTTTTTACCTGAATTCTAATTCCTGGTAAAATCCAAGATGGTGGCAAAGATGGCGACCATTGTTGGTGACGTCACGAGCCTCCATGAGCGCCATCGCCCATTAAACATACCTTCTCTTGTTAAAGGGACACAATCAGCTATGGGATCGCGCTGACCTGGACACTACTTTTGCCAGTTTGAACCGTTTACCTCAACCCGAAATCAAAGCTACGCGTCGGATACATCTAGAAATCCGCTTCAATCCTGCCTAGTGTCTCATTCGATCCTCGATCTTTTACTGAATCGAAAACCTCTTTTTGAGCAAACTTTTGCTCATCCTATTGCATTATTTTATCACATTTTCTTAAAAAACAGTATTCAAAGGAACACGAACAGAAAAGGGAAATCGATGGGAGAGCTTACATATATTTGGAAAATCAAGCTTCCTCGACGTTGAACCTTCAACAGTGATTCAGACTTGCAATTGCAATTTGCGATTGTGCAATTTTTCACCTCTACTGATGTTCGAATTCAGAAGTATTAATCTATGTTTGGATTTCTCTGGAAAAATCCATCGGTGAATTCTTAATGGTATATAAAAAGATGAGAGCTCTAATACGGCTTAGGGTCTATAATCACGATTTCGGCTTGTAACTGACTTCAACTAACTAAACTTCAAAGTTTGTTTAGAGTATTCGGGACACGCTTCTCACTTTCTGTTTCACGAGCGTCTTGTGACATGCAAATCAGCTAAGAACTGGTATGTAATGCCCATGTGCATCAGCTGACTCTGTCCCCTTATAAAGATCAAAGGCCTTCCACTAAAGGTAAAATCGTTTCAGAATACTGCAGCATATAGAAAACTCCGGGGAGGGATTCCATCCACCCCTCCTTGTACCGCGGTGGGGTTATAAATTTACGTGTACGTCCGAGGGTTAAATTTCGCAAGACTTCTGGAACTGTTACTGAGGACAAGAAAAAAAAATTAGACAATAGCTGACCGGTGCGTACCAGTAACGACCTTAGGAGTCTTTTCGAACGCTAACTCGCCCCAGTTTCCTTCTGGCTTCTAAACTGTCGAAGAGGACATACAAGCAAACTCACGATCATAGTATCTTTTTTGGGGAAACTGCCCACCTGCCCCTACCCTAAGCCAACATTTTGCCCTAAGTGAGAAGTAGGTGTTATAGCGCAATTATTTGTATCGCGCTGCGCGTTTTGCAAACTTAGAAGGGATTTGGGGTTTTTCTGTTCCGTCTTTCATTTTAGTCAAGGCGGGGTTGATACAAATCACAATGTAGCGTACTCGCCCAGCTTGGCTGACTGACTCTAGACTGCTCAAGAATAATGAAGGAAATCGCGATACAATTCTGATTCTCATTTAAAGGAAGTATAATGACCACAATCATTAAAAAATCCTGCTTTGTCATGCATTCGGAATTCGAATACCTCTAAAACCTGAAGCAAACTGACGCCAGGGAGACACTATGATATTTGATTGCGCAGTTGCTGGATGATGCCGACTTTGATATAAAGTTATGAAAGTGACTAACACCCTACTAAATGTGTATATTCTTTCATACCAAAGTAGAACTAGATATTTTCTAGATGCAAGGGTATTCTGCAGGGCTGATGCAGCAGCTAAGACCTTGCTTTGGTTCTTTCTTGTTTTGGTCTAAAACCTTCTGATAGCTTTGGGAAATGACGTCTTATTAATTGATTTCAGTGTCTAGAGACTTGGTGATCCAGTTTTATGACAAGATTATCAGCACACAAGAGCTTCTTATCAAACTTAATATGACCCGCTACAGATTTTCTGTGAATAACCTATGCCCCTCACCACAATACTCCTGTCAGGCAGTTTCCCACTGAATCAAAGGAGCCAGGCTCGGGAAAGGATATTTCAGAAACCTTGTTACTGCGATGAGCTCTGCCTTGAGCTTGGTGATTGTTGCTATGACTATTTTCAAAGGTAAACTAAATTACACGCTCGTCATCCATCTTTAGATTAATCTTAAAACTGAGGACTTTTCTTTTTTGTATTTATTTATTTTTCAGCTAAGGAATGAGCAAATAAGTTAAACCTGTCCTCAGGTTCACATGCCTTGGTCTTTCTTTTATTGCGCCTGCTCAACAGTTTCGATATTTTCAAAGATATAAGTATCCAAGGTTTTTAAGGTGTGGTAGACGGTCATTTAAAATAGTTTAAGCCTTATTTGCCATATGGTCGCAAAAAATTCCTCGAGAATAATTCTTGAGTTCCTTATCTAAGTTCAGAAAAAAGACAGGGAATACTGATATCCCTTTGTTTCCAGGCTCCCACATAAACGTCACCCAGTTTTATGTATATATATGTATGTGGAAAGAAGTGTACGTGGTCGGTCGTTCAAGCTACTCTTTATTAGTACTGGTCGATCTTGTACGGAACACTTGCAAAGGTTGAGACAACTGCATCAGTTATCTCACATTAATTTTTCTTTCCTTTGTCATTTTTGACCTTCAGATGTGTGGCTGACCTTACACCGACGTGTCACCTTTTAAAGCATGTCTGTGTTAAGACCGGCAATACAGATTTTTATGGCTACACAATGATTGGCAGCTGTCCATCAGACAACTCTTATAAGAACTTGCAAACTTTATGCACCTCAACATCTTCACCTTTAGAGCTGCCCGTCTTCGACTTAGACGACAACAGCGTTTACAAGAATATTTTCTGTGCCAAATGTAATCGCGCCAGTAATCCAGTTTACTGGAAGTTTTCTGCTTTCTGTGACAGGTGTTACATTACGGCAAGCGATATTCCAAAAAACAGAACCATGATGTTGAACTTTTTAACAAAGAATTGTGATTGGAAATTTGCAGTTCCGCGTGCTAACATAAACCTAAAGAAGTGTTTGTCGGTTAAGGTCAAGTGTAGAGAATCTGAGCCAGAAAATTCACTACTATCCAGTCTCTGTTCCTTTTATGCCTTTCCCGTCTGTAAAAATATTCAAAGTAAAAATCCTCATTGTGAGATGTGCCGCGGAAATGACATCAGTGCGTTTTTGTGCAACTGTTATCCCCGTCCCAACACTATTAATCCAACTCCGGCACGTGAAATACCATCTTTGGATATTTTATTTGATTTCTCGTCTTCCTCAGATCATACTGTAAAAATAGGGGATAAAACTACCATTGTAAAAAATAAGGAATGCAGTCATGGTTTTCTGTATAATCCATTTACAGAGAAATGTGTAAGATTGCATGTTGCGGATCCCACAGTTAAAAACAACGGATCTTTTACCAATTACAGCTGCAAAGGATCGGGCTTTGTTAAAGTTGGCATAAGTTCCGTAACTGTGTTACCAAATGGCTCAATATGGATCCCATTGCATAAGAGAACATTCAACAACGGAAGTTACTTTATTAACGGTTCCTTTGTGTTTGTTTGCGTAAACCTCACAAGAAATTTTACTGAAACAACTACACTTAATTCTGAAGATGAAAAGCTAACTGGAAGGCAGATAACGACCTATGTGGGTTGTGCCATATCGATAACTTCCTTGATTCTCCTTCTCGGAGTCTATATCATATTTTAGGAGCTAAGAACCCTACCTGGAAAGAATCTGATGAGCTTGTCAATCTCCATGTTGTTCTATCACACTTTCTTTTTAATGTCCGGTCAGACTAACCGCCCACACCTCTGTATGGCAGTATCCATTCTGCTTCATTATTTTTTGTTGTCAACATTTTTCTGGATGAGTGTTATGGCCTTCGATGTTGCCAAGACGTTTACGAAGAAAGGTATTTAAAGAGAGACTGTCTTGTGTACTTTTAGCACTGCAGTTTGAGGAATTCCTTGACTGCACAGGGCGAGATATAGAATGGGGCAATTCCCAAAGGTAGTGGTTTACATCTTTTTAAATCTTGTTTGCTGGGTCTTTACTCTTCCCATGGCGCAAGCACACGACACTGGGAGGGAGGTTCAATCCACTTCGAGAGCTGTTTTTGTAGTATGCGTTTTCGAAATCAGATCCATTTTTGTGTCACAGCTTTTGTTTCGACTACATTTTTCTTTATTCTGTGACCTTTTATGCTATTCTATTAGGCTGACTTTTTCGCATTCAAAGAATAACATTCCAAAAAAAGTTTAGTTCTTTTATTTTTGCTCCAGGACAGACCTCCCGTTCGGTGGCGCGCTCACGAAGCAGTAAAGTGGCCTTCATTAAGTACCACATTTATGCTTGGACAAGTCCTGCAATTATTGTCATCACCAGCTCTGCTCTTGACATCTCGGATGCGGCTTTTATTGGATACGGTAAGCTATTGATTGGTTAGTCAGATACTCATGTTACATACCTACGTTTAACACCAAGAGGGTTTTTTGTTTGTTTTGTTTTGTTTTTTTTCGGTAGTGTGAGAATACAGCGATAAAAACTAACTTTCTTCCCCACCGGCTTTTGTGAAATAGATATTGGACTAAATTCACTCAACCCTTTAGAGTAATATGTGATTTTTGTCTTCCGTTTTATACTTGAACTCAGATAAAGGCTTCTTTTGTTATAATCCTAGGCGACAACTTCTGCTGGATTTCTAATGGGAAAGCACTACTTGTTGTCCTTGGGGTACCTGTGGCTCTAATTCTCATGTTTAACTGTGCCGCAATTACTATCACGCTGTTGTCCATTTGGAAAGTTCAGAAGGTACTTTACCAGCCTAGAAAACAAAAAATCAGTCCTGAGTCAACGAGTCTTATGTCTTCCTTCTTCTCTTAATGTTATTCTCGTGAATTCTGACTTGTTGCTGTACCCATATAGTAAGCAAGGGTTTAACCTGGGGATTTGTGCACACTTGAAAACTGATGAGGTTTTAAAATTTGTTTCAATACAGCAGCCTATACCTGTCACATAACACTCGACAACAGAGTGACCTATAAATTGACTGTACTTATTTATTTGTAATTTATGATTTATTTATTTATTTTCATTTAGTCCACACGGCGGGCGACAGATCAAAAGGCCAGCCTTTCTATCTTGTGCATCAAGCTGTCATCTGCCTTGGGATTTACATGGCTGCTGGGATTTATTGTTCCCTTTGCTAAAGTCGACTTTTTAACGTATCTGTTTGTCATTTGCAACAGTTTGCAAGGTCAGTTTGTCATCAAAAAACGTCTTCCGTAAAACAGGTTATTAAAGTTTGTTACAAGGTAATTTATTTCGCAATTAAGCATGACTTATTCTAATTCCCTTTTCGACTGATCAGGCATTTTTAAGCTGTCGGTATATAAGCTTATATAAAGCCTTTAAACTTTAACTATTTGGTTATTATTTTTTTACACCTGATTCCACCTCGTCATGCTCTTTCAAAGTTACTTGTTGTTATTAATTGAAATCATTTTCTGTATCCATCATTGTGTGGCTCATTGGACGTGCACGTCCTTAAAATCGAAAAACATATTTGAGCTTGCAGGTAACCAGTCGATGTTAACGTCAGTTAGAAATATATCATATCCAAAGAAAGTGAAAATCCCCGTTACATTGACTTTAATTTTTACAAAGAGAAATTAAAAGTAATAAGCTAGTTGATTAACTTAAGGTAAAAAAGCAAACAAACAAACAAACAAACAAACCAACAAAACGTGCGCGCCAGGAGTATGGGTACCATGCATAGAAACGCCATTATCATAAAAAAAATTATAGTTTAGTAAGTGATAAGGGGAATTCCTTAAAAGGCATTGGTCTTCTTGTGACGTTATCTCAAGGTAAATTACCCTGTCTTTCTTCGGCGCCAAGCTAAATTACTATTTTCTGTACTCAACCACCCACGCTAACTGTTCAAGATACGACAGCCAAACTTTGCGAAATTTAGCTATGAACATTTTAAAGTCGTCGTGACACGTGGGTGTATATAAATGTTACTATGGTAATCCAGTTTTGACAGCTTTTTTTAAAATTTGCATTTTTTCTGTAAAACACTGAGGTTTTATTTCTATTCGTAGTTGCTGAATTACTATGTTACAATTAACTCAGCATTGCATTATCCTACCAAAGTTATTAAGGCTGCCAAGAATGTAATTCAGGTTGTTTTGGTGATTAATTAAGAAAAAAATACCCAAATGTTTAAACTCAAAGTAAAAAAAGGAAAGAAAATGACAGTTGGTTCTAATTCCTTTGTTTAACAATAAATTTATTGAGCATGACACAATACTCTTGTTTAAGTTTACTGGTTTATTAGCCAACTTCTTGGTTTTATCAGACACGTCACTACTTACGTATTTTCCGTTACATTGAAGGAAATTTGACCTCTGTCAATAACACGCCGGGCTGACAGGAAGCCAAAACCGACTAGTAAAAGACTGTTCTTACAGTTCTTATCTGTTTGAGCTGAAACTTTGCAGGATTGCAGAACTTAGAACTCTTCATGTTTTCATGGTTTGAAAATATTGAATTCCATCGTTTTTGGCGGGTTAATGACGTCACAAGATTGACACCAGAATTTAACTTTCAAATGATAGCGTAAAAAGTAGACGATTTTAAAAGACCGTGGCAAGACATAAACAAATGTGGTTTTTTCCCAAAACATCAGTTGGTTGAGGATATAAAGCATTGTGAATTTTTCCTTTATTTCTGAAAGTGGTATTAAAATGGCGGGAAATTCAAAATTTAAAGCTTAATAATTCTGTAACCAATCAAGTTCTTCACAAAAATAAAAAATGATAGTAATTAAAAAAAAACACTCACATTATTTAGTTTCTATCTTACCACGGTCTTTTAAAATCACCTATTTCTTACGCTGTCAGTTGAAATTTAAATTTTGCTGTCAAACTTGTGACGTCATTTTCCCGCCAAAAAACCGTTGGTATTAAAAAAAAGAGGCAAAATTCAAAGTTCTACAATCCTGCAAAGTTTCATCTCTAACAGATAAAAACTGAAAGAGCAATTTTCTACTGGATGGTTTCAGCCTCCTGTCAGTCGGGCGTGAAATTCAACAATATGACGTAATAATTACGTCAAATTAAGCCTTCCAATGTTGGAAATAATGAGTATGTTTTAATCAATCTTTTATTTCAGGTAATTTTTTATTTTCCTTTGTTTCAAGTTCATTAGCGTAAATCACCATACCAAAAAACAATGGAAAAATAAAAATTAACTGAGATAGAAAATTAACTACAACAAGTACGTTATTCCTTGTAATTCAACTTTCAGGGTTCTTCATTTTCCTTGCTTTTGTGGCAAATAAGAGGACACTTGTTAAACTCAAATGCGCGTGGAGATCGCTTTCCAAGTCTGATGGATCGACAAACACCACCTCAAACACTGGCAGGAATAGGGCAAAAAAAACAAGCAAGGACGAACAATTAGCTGCAACTACTGCTTTTTAAACAGGACGCTGGGTTCTGTGTTTGTGGCTTTAAGTTTCCGAACACAGTCTACCTTTGAAATGACAGATGGCTTCATTGCAGGCCGCCTTGTTGATGCCGTTTATGTGTGTTTCCCCCGCACTTGGTTTTGCAGAAATCCGGGGATCACGAAAAACGAAATAAATCTAATAGAGCTTTGGTTATAAATCATAAAAATTGTTCCGTTCTAAAATGTAAATGCATATATTTTTGGTTTGCTAGAATCCTTTTCTTGGGGTGATGCCAACTTTTGGAGCATTAGTTTGTCAGTAAATGCGCACGTTTTATAATTTTGAGCCGTCTGCGGTTCGTTTCTTGGCACTAACGTTCAACTTAACACCAATAGAGTGACTTGAGCATAAGTAGGTCCTCTAAAAAGTGAATTGTGATTGATATTCTTAGTACAAAGAATACGTTATAAGAGAGCAATATCCGATATTCAGCGACCTTAAGTGAAAAGTCATGGTCAATATAGAATTTACTATAAGGCCAAATAATTATCATTCCCAACGAGCTGAAATTTTCAATCTTAACATCCGTTTGAGTAGCCAATCAGGACACATGATTCGTCTCAATCTTGCCACAAGCATCTAACCATATATTAAATTTCGTTTTTCTTTGTTTTGATTTGTTTTGTTTTTACCTTAAAATACCAATCCCATTATGTTAAACAAAAATGATCTTAATTTGCAGCAGAACGTGTAAGCACTATGTTATACCATGGATACGAAGTTAATGTTCGAAGCCAACAAACAGGTAGTTTAACAACCTTATCTTTAAATGTAGTGAAGGATTTTAGGAAACATAGCAGTAGTTTTTAGTTCTTTCCGAAAGTAACGAAAAAGGGAAAAAATGAAATCATTCTTGAAAACGTTACCTTATATTGACATGAATAAGGTTTTGATTAGGGATTAAATGGAACTGTTAGGGCATTTTAAGCTCATCTGTAGGCTGTTGTAACTGACAGTGCCATCGGCTATATTTTCATTCTTTTATTAGAAACATTTTTAACAGTTAGCTTTGTTTTTGCATGCGTGACATACTTCTTTACGTGAATTTCTTCGTATACTAAGCCTGAACATTTTCTACCCAAAAACACTGCTGCACAGCACGTATTTATGACTAACAGCGAAATGTATGAACTTTCATATTGATAAATTTATGCGGTGCAGCCGTTGTGCACGAATTTTAAAATTTGTT